TAAAGGGCGTAATTCTTTCATGCAACACAGAGATCTATATTCACGTAAACAGATCTGTCTCACCTTTTCTCATAGCGACAGAGTGTTACATGGTAATGTGTCAAAACTTATTTAGAATCCCTTTTTAATGGACATTTAGGTTGTTTCTAGTTTTTTTTATGTCACCTTCTGTTAGAATATTCCTGTATATTCATTTTGAGAGCGAGTATACCTGCATGTTAATTTCCATAACAGGAATTACTGCCTCAAATGGTACAGGAATCTAAAATATTGGTGAATCTTGCCACATTGCCACGGTAGCACCACCCCTTCCTCAGAGGAGAAAAAAAGTCAAGCACTCGTACAAGCGAATGTGGCGTCCTCCCTGTAGGTGGGCAGCCTTGTTCTCCCCCTCAATTCCTATTTCAAGGAAGAAGCCAGTGAGGCCAGGAGACGGCCAGGGGCGCAGCTCAGAGGCTGGACTCGAACCCCGTCTTTTGCCTCTCAACCTAGGGTCCTTCCCTCTCTGAAACAGCAGCTTCTTTTTTTTTTTTTTTTAACCTTCATTTGCGACTGGGAAAAGTCGTCCCTTCAACCCCTCCACACCCGTCTGCGTACTTGGGGGCGACGCTCCTCGCCCCCGCCACCCGCTCAAGCTGCAGGGTCCTCTCACCGTTGGTTCTCATTGAGCAGGGAGAAAAGTGGGCCAAGGTGCAGTTCCGCCGCGTGCTCGCGCAGCTCGCTCAGCGGCACGGCCTGCAGCACCGACTGAAGCTCGCGCAGCTCCTCCAGCGGCGCCTCCAGCCGCGACACCTCCCCCAACAGTGCCAGCACCTGGGCCGCCATCATCCCCCGCTCCAGCTCGGGGTTTGCCCCGCCGCCCGGCCGGCTCCCGGCGTGCCTCTCTAGGTCTCGCGAGATCTGACGGAGGCAGCCTCTCTAAGCGGAATTTTGACTGGGACTGCAAACCCTCCGGAAGCAAGGTGGAGCTGGCGGATAGCGCACGCTCGGGATCTGTCAGACTCGTGAGACGTGTGTCAGTTAGGGCCGAACCAGCGATCGTTCGTGGTTGCGGGGTTGCAGTCTGGCAACATCGGAGGCGCAGCTCAGTTGGTCACGCAGTTGTGCTTTTCCAGTTGACTTGTATATTTCCGACGGGGCATGAAGGCTCGTCAAATACCTGGCAAGAGGAATAGTGAGAATGAGGACCAGCGGAAGGTCAAGTGGTCTCGCGAGCAGCATCCTGGCTCTCAAGCCGTGCTCTCGGCCGCGGCGAGGGTGGGAGTGGCAGAGACTGCTGGGCCCCGGCAGCGGCTGAGGCTACCCCAGGCTGAGTGGAGGCGATGGGCATCCCAAACCTGGGTCAGACACGTATCGAGAGGCGATGGAGGGCCAATCCTCTGGAAGGCAAGATGAGAAAAATCTCAAGAAGCTGGGAGGATGCGTGAGTAACACCAACATGGGGCACTTTGGGGGCGTCAATGAGTCAACCGTGCGGCGCACCATTCAGAAAAACAAGGTCATCACGGACTGTTTTGCCCCTTTCCTCTAGGTGCTGTTCATTTCCTGTGATGCAGACATCCAGAAGATGGAGAGAGACTGAGTTAACCTTTTGGGTCGAGGACCAGACCAGACCATGGGGGTGGGGGTGGGCGACGGCCTCTGATGCTAAAGGCCATCTGCAGCCATTCCAAACGCATTACAAGGATCTGATGGAAACCCCTGGAAAGGGCAACACAGATAACTATCATGCGAACACGAGATGGCCTGAGAATTTAGAAATCGCTACAGTTTGCGCAATTCAGGGATGACAAAGGAGGAATAACTGGTAAATGCTCAGTCGGCACCGAAGTAACTCCAAGTAACTCCAAACAACTCCAGAAACTGATCAGAGCTAGAAGCTATGTGCCTCAGTGGGTCTTCCATGCCAAGAACATGAGCTTGTTTTGAAAGTGCATTCTTTAGTGGACTTTTAGGGAAAAAGACAATCCGGAAGTTTTAGGGGAAGCTCAGAACAGGATTTTCCTCTTTGTGTGCCAGTGCCACAGGTGACAAAAAGATAAAAGCCATTGCTGCTTTATAAAGATCCTAATCCCACTTGTCTCTTGGAAAAAGGTTAAAAAAACAAAACAAAACAAAAACAACAACAACGAAAAACCCCAAACCCTTCCTGTTTCCTGGTGATCACACCCCAGAGTATCATTAACTGCTGCCCTCTTTTTGGATTGGTTTCATAATTATTTTATCTATTAAGCCCAGAGTTGTTTAACAGAAAAAAAAATCTTTAATTCAGAATGTTGCTAATTTTGGACAGACGTCCCAATCACCCAGTCTCCTTATTCTTTGCTCACCCTCAGGTGATACTGTTTCTCCCTCTGGAAGGCACTAGCTATCTTCAGTCACTGGATCAGGGAGTAACCAAAGCATTCAGGAGGTATTATACCAAGCATATATTTGACTACTTTGCTGACTGTATTGGGGAAAAAAAACCCCAAAAAACCCTTGCCTTACTTTGAAAGAAACATAGCCACAACATTGCTGACACTTTGGTAGTGATAAAAGGCGATGGATGATATAAAACCAGCCATTCTTACTAAAGCCTAGTGGAAACTTTGGGACCGCGTGAATGATTATGCATATTTCCTAGAAGATGTTGAAAAAAATCAGAGTCTGCAAAAACGGATGGGCTGTAAATTCATCAATATCAATGAAAGTGAAATTAATGAGCTACTCAAGTTCCAAATTGTGGTGATAATGAGAGTCTGTAGATAAGAAGTCCCCAGAGCCAGAGGTAAAGATGAACCTAAGGAAATTGAGTGCGGTCTTACACTCTGCTTGAGGCCTCATTGATGCTACAATTAATATGGATCCTTTCTTGGATCGAAGTTTGACTTTTAAAAAAGATTATGATAAATTGTTGTATACCTATAAAGAGGTACAAACCTTCAAAATAAACAAAAGTTGAAGAAAGAGAAGGGAGACTCATTATGAAGAGGAAGTGTGAGTGAAGGAGATAGATACAGAAGGGGTGAAGCAGAGTATGAGTCTGAATCCTGTTAGGAGGAGGCGCAGGTAGAGAGAAGGAGGGTCAGAAGCCTTCAGTGGAAGAGCCTGGATTGTCAGGCAGTGGCACTGAAAATCTTGAGTAGGTATATCTGGAGAATCTGCGAAAGCCAGAAATGCAGGATTGGGCTTTTGTAATCTAACCTTGGAATTGAATTTGGAAAGAGTAGAGATGCCTGAGTTTACAGGAGAACCCAGAGGCAGTTTCTTCCAAATAAGTCATCTCTTGCCACCCTTTCCCTATTGTCTCAACATCACCTTCACCGTGACCATCCTTATAATCACCAGCCACACATCCACATCATTTAGTTGTTCAACAAACATTAAGCCTAAACTATGCGGAGTCCTGTGCTAAACTGGGAGACATCGTCTCAAATCTAAGGTAAATGGTCATTTAACAGTGGCCTTTCTTATTAATGTAGTAAGTATAAAAGATCACGGTCTTGCTTTATTTTAGTGGACTTTGAATATAAATTTTTCCTTAAAACCTCTTGGCCTCATTTACTATAACTGTTTTCCCTAGATACTAAATTCTTCAATCACAAATGGAGGTTTTCTGAGTTACCCTTGGTAGTTGTCATGAGGGTACTTGCTCTTGAATTGCTGACACGATCCTGTATTTTACAAAGCACTTTAACATTAATCTGTACTGTTGATCCTCACTTTAGACCTATGAAGTTCTGTTAGCCCATCCTTTAGCAATCCCCTCCTCTAAAAGTTCAGAGAGGTTAAGCAACTTGCCTGAGTGTGCACAGCTAATGATGTAAATGATAAGACTAGGGCCACAACTGATTTATTAGCTACTTTGTCAGACACTTTGATAGGAAGTGTATCACCCCTTTGAGAATTTATGGTCCCAGGCAATGAACAGGTAATTTAAAATAAACGTAGGAGCTGTGAACTGGCATCCTGCAGGCCAGATTTGGCCAACAGATGTGTTTTGTTTGATTTCCCCATTTTAAAACAATTTTGAATTGATTTCCAGTATCCTCATCCCAAGCCCTTTTTTGATTAAGGGCTATTTACATACAATACAATGCACCAATTAAAGTGTGTACTTTGTTGAATTTTTAACACTTGTGTAACTACCCCTGCAATCAAAATATAGAACAGTTCCCTTAATTTTAAAAAGTTTACTTATGCCCTTGGGCACTAAATCCCTTCTCCGGCCCCAGTAATGCCATCATTTAAAAATTAGGATATTTCACATTAAAAAACTGGATTAAACAATTGGAAACCCCGACAACAGTCGGGGTTTCTGCATTCCCAAAGGGCAACAGTCATTAGCTTGCTGCTTTGCTTACTTGCTTGCCGCTCCCCATAGATGATGTTAAGTGTCGCAGCAGAACTGCGTACCCAGTGCCTCCGGGGACCAGAGGACTGTGGGATTAGCTGGGGAAGGCTGGGGCGCAGCTGGCCTGGAGGGATGAATGAGTTCCTAGGAAGGGCAGTTGCGGGGCAAGAGTGTTCTAAACCAAGGAGGATTGGAAGGGAGGTCCTGGGAGGACGGGGTTCTGTGGGGGACAGGAAGGCAGCAGGGTGCATCACTCGTTTTTGATGGCAGATGGGCCTCTCAAGTGGAAGAGTTTACTGTATGTGTTTCAAAGTTTGTGAGCTTTGGTTTTTGAAGGCTTTCTGTAACTAAGGAACAGGTGTTTTTATCTGTACATCTCTGGGGATTTTATGATTCGTTGTTGTTGGAATGAGAAGGGAAAATTAGTATTTTTATTTTTGTAAGGATTATAGGTCTGCGTCTGGTACTTGGGTTGTATGTTTCTGAGGAAAGGAGCCAGGGAAAAGTGCTCCCTCTGTCCCCACCACCTCCACTTTCTCGTTCCAGCCAGCCAGCCTGGGGCCGGCCAGTAGGGTAAGCAGCAGGTGGCGAGGGGGGCGGGGGGGGGCGGGGCGGGGCGGGAGGGCGGTTCAGGCCCTCAGTTCCCGCCCCCCACCCCCACCCTGGGGAATTAGCTAGAGGCCACATTCGCTGCCGCTAAATTACCAGCGACGCCATGGATAGGCTGGGCTCACGGTGCCCTCTGCCAGGCTACCCTCGGGCCTCTGTCCTTATATGCCTCCTGGTGAGTGCCCCACGCTACGACTTTACCACCCTCCTCCGCGCTAAGCGTCCAAGCTGCAAACTGATGGAGCCAGACACACTTCCCTTTAATGCTTTTGGGATTTTGAGCTGGGGGCCAGCAGGCAGGGGGATGGACAGCAAAATCCCTGGGGACATCACTCGGTGTCCTGGAGATTGTGGTGTGGTTCTGAAGCTTACCAGCACCCTTTTTTCACTCTGAGAAGCCGTGACTTGGGCCGGGTGTCATAGCCAGGGTCAGGGAGGTCGAAGGGGTGTCTGGTAGTTGAGTCCTTGCCTACGGGTCACATGATAGATTCTTTTCTTTTTGTTGCAGTTACCATATTGTTTTTTTCTGGGGGCTTTGTTTTCTCATCTCAGAAATATCTTAAAATGTTAAGGTTGGAAGTGACTGTTCACAGAGGGCCTCCAGCTGAGGAGGAGGCTGAGGGGGAGGTGGGGAGGGTCAGAAGCCCAGGGATGGAGCCCAGCTCTGATGATCACTTTTAGGTGATTTCTTCCTCTTTATGGCCCTTTTTTCCTCATCTCTAACAATGTGCACGTATCAGGGGCTCTTAACTCTTCTGGGTCTGTAAATTTTCTCTCTCCTATTGTTTGTTTGTATTTGTACCCAAGGAAAATGTATAGATAAGCACAGTGTTTCATTCATTCAGAATATTCATGGATTCCTTAAAACTAGGTAGATTATAAATTCAGGTGGACTACAAATTTAGAACCACTCGGTGGTTTCTGGGTCCCCTTCTGCCTTAACAGAGACCAGATTGTATAGTCAGCCCTAACCTCTTAAAGGCTGTGCAAATACTCCAGGACATAAAAAGGAAAAAGGCAAAATGAAATACAAAGTAACTGAGGATACATAAAATATTTTAAAAGAATGTAAAAATAGAAAAGGTATATAGTAAAAGACATAAGTGGGAAAATCTCGAAAGACTTTAAAAAATTATAATATAGGTCTTTTTCCCTTTATAATGTTTCTGTTAGGGAATATTGTGATGCGTGTATTTTCCAACAATTTTGCATTAGTACAATGTCCCTTTCTAATATACCATAGTCTATCCTTGGTTCCAGGTTGACCTTTCATGCTTCTGATACTTTGATGTGGTCCACAAACATTTCTCAAGCCCTACTCCCTATCGGGAGTTGTAAAGTGCTGGGAATATAGAAATGAGTGAGACTGAAGAGCACGTGTCCCATGGAGGGGACCTACATAAATAGCTCCCTATATTTCCCTGCGATCAACGGTACAACAGCAGGATGTTTAGCAGCAATCCTAGCCTCTACCCAGTAGATGCGAACAGCATCTCTTTCCATTATGTCACAACAATAAAAATTGTCTCCAGACACTGCCAGATGTCCCCTTGTTGGGGGTTGGGGGGCGGGGAGGCAAATTGCCTTGAGAACCACAGGATTAAGTGAGGCTGAACCGACCCCACTAAATCAATTCCTAGTCGTGTCCATTGCAGTTCAAAGAGCCCTGAAAGGGAAGCAGGAGTCTTGGGTACAAGTGTTGGCCCTGTTGCAGTTTCTGAATATTCTGCCGTAGTTACCTTACCTGTTAAATTAAGGCTTATCTTAGATAGTACCTGAGAGCACAGCTCTCGGTGTCAGTAGCACAGGTCGCGTTGCTTTAGAGTTAGGCTACCGTTTCCACTAGCTCACCCACAGTGCCTGGCACATTTACACCTGACTGGAGGTGAAATTAACTCCTCAAACATCAAGACCTGTAAGAGCTCAGTATTTGACTGAGTTCATTTGTGTTCCAATACATTTGAGGTGAGTTTATATTTAATCTTAGCTATGTTGCAGTGATTCCTGCTGGCTGGAATGCCCCGAATCTTCCCTAGGAATGGCTTTTTTTTTTTTTCATTTGGGGGACAGGCTCTTGCTTCTTTTATTTGACATCTGTGCTGGAAGCCACCTTCAAGTCATATGGTTGACCCCTTACAGTGTTCTAGTATGTCTCGTTCTCTGCTAAGGCACTGCCAACAAGCCTTACCTCCTTCACAAGACCAGTCAATCTTAACAACATCTTGCTGGTGTATTAATTCACTAATCTACAAGTATTCGTAGCGAACCTGCTGTGTGTCGTGAACTGTGCTGGGGATACAGAGATAAACGAAGCACAACCCCTTTCTGTATTGAATTTGTGATTACAAATTATGTTTTTTCCTATCTCGTTTTAACTCATGGCAACTCTGAGAGAGGCAGCACAAGTGTCATAATCTCCACTTTCTAGATAAGCTTTATAGATGGTGAGGAAGAAAATTGTGGAAGGCCACGGCAGTTAGCAGTGTTGGCGCTAGGATTTAAATCCTTCTGCACTTACGTCCACACACACACTAAAAGCTTCATTGGAAAGTCTGGGTTTTTCTTTCATGCATGGTCACTGTTTCAGTTCAGAGGACTTAGTATGTTGAACTGGTGGTTTGGTGGAGGTAGTGGGAGGGAATGAGAAACCCAACCCAGGCAGGCCTCTCGTCAAACTGAAGCTCAAGACATAAAAACGCTGCTCAGGCCCTGCCAAGAAGTAGAAGTAGGAGCCAGGGCTTAGGCGACAGCATGAAAGGAGTGGGAGGGCAGAGGTTTATTTGGGCAAGGAATGAGCCCTGGGCTGGGAGGCAGGAGAAACAGGCTCTTGTTCAGCCTGGCTTAAGTCACAGTGGGGCTCCTTGCAAGATGCCTAGGTCCCTGTTAATGACTCCATTATATCCCCCAAGCAGAGAACTCTGGATGGAGGTGTTCTCCAGTTCTTTTCATTTCTTCTTATTTTAAATGTAAGAAAAAGTGTATCTTGAATGCCTTTTCCTCTCACGTTGTCATTGCCATCAGTTTCTTTTTCCTGGATCATTGTGATGGCTTTCTAAATAGGCTGCCTCTGACGATTCTTCATCCTCCCTCCTGCTACCCTACTCAGCTTCACTGTGTTATTACTTTGCTACTTAAAAACCTCCCAAAGTACCCTGTCACTTGAGTACAAACTCCAGGCTCCTTAGCCTGCCCCTTTTCCTTAGAGTGGTAGCCAGTTTCATTTCCTCCTGATCTCATACCCTCAGACCAAGACCTGTGCAGACTCTATCTCATCGATCCCTAAATACCTCTTGGGTTTGTGCATATTACCATTTGCTTAGCATGTCTCGTTCTCCTCTTTCCTACTTATTGTTTCACATCCAACTTAGAACTCTTGGAAGTCTTTTCCTGTTCCCTCAGGTCCAGCCTTCCTCATAGCCCCCCCCAGCTCTCAGTTTCAGTAGCACGGGTTGCATTACTTTAGAATTAGGCTACCTTTTGCACTAGCTCACCCATGGTGCCTAGCGCATATGTTATAACCTCCACAGGATGATAGCGGTTCAGCGGGTGCCAGTTGGTGTTATCTCTGTAAGAATGGATTCCATGTCCTCCAGACTTGAGTCCTCATCCTGGCTTCACCAAATGAAAGCTGCGTGATTTTGAGCAAGCATCTTGATGTCTGAGCCCCTGGGGTTTTTGTTTTTGTTTTGGGGTTTTTTTTTTAATCATCTGCAAAATGCAGAGGAAAATACCTAGGCATGAGAAGTTCGTTGAAGCACTAAAGCTTAGCCTCTCAGCATTTTGGATGGGGAATGGGTATGAGAAAACGATGCCCAGCCTTGGTTCCAGTCCGCGTGAGGGGGCGGGGGGTGAATCGCCGTGTCACTGCTGACTTGTGCCTTTTCCCACCATTTAGATCCTGGCAGCCTCTTTCCTGACATACCCCATGCTCAGGACCCTTAGCCTGCAGCTCCATTCCGCTGTCACTGGCAGTTTTGTCTCCGGCACTTACTCCATCGTCTTTGTCAACTGTCCCAACGAGCAAATTGCCAGAGATATTGCCAGGTATGGTAAAGGGGCTTAGTTGCTGCCCCAGGAGGCTCAGGGAGCTACCAGGATGCTCCAGAGGGGCCACTTTTGGGCCATTCTCTTGCTTCTGACACGCCTGTCCATGCAGTGCTGAACTGCACAGCTGTCTGCCTGGGGTGGCAGGAGGAGCACAGCTGAACGGCCCGCTGGGCTCTGCTGCGGGGCCTGAAAATGTTGCGCATGGGAGCATGTAAGGGGTGTGAGACCCAGAGGGATGTGTGGCTTATTTAAGGTATTAAGAGAAGAATGGAATCCTGCCTGTTGAGGACTTGAAGTCTCCCAATTCCTGGTCCATCTCTCTTTCTTCTTGGAGACGCTCTTTTTGCTCAGTCCTAGACGTGTTCATTGTGATAGGTGAGGAGGAGGAAGTGGCCATTCCAAATATTTAGACAATTTCTAGAAGCAGCTGTGGTATAGTAGAAAGAACACTGGACCTGTAAACAGACCAGCATTTGAATCTTGGCTCTACCACTTACTGTGTTAACTTGAGCAAGTCATTTCCCTTCTCTAAGCATTAGTTTTCTAAATTATAAGATAGGATAATGTCACCTACCTCACAGGATGGGGAGGATTAAATGATAGGAAATATGTACAATCCTTACCCTAGTAACTCGAATGTAGTAGGTGCTCAATAAATGTTTGTGGTATCTGAATTTTCCCTCCTTCATTTCTCTTTATAGATACAGTTTTGAAGAGGATTAGTTTGGCTTGAGGGTAATGGATTTGGCTTCTCGCTTCATAGCTCAGCACTCTTGAAGTTGATGATAGACTAGGTTACAGTGTTTTCAAATGTTGAATCTGGTCTTTGGGAAGACACGCCCTCCAAACTGTTGGTCATAGGTTAACTTTGTATTTGATTCCATCTTTCTTTCCTCCACCAGAGTATAATTTTTTCCCTTGTTAACACTACCTTTAGAAAACAGCTCTTATCTAAAAGACCCTGTAATTGCTTCAGAGATACAACCATAGTATTTAGCAGCTAGGAATTGAAATCCCTCCTGATGCTTCTCATATACCCAGGGTCTGTACTGAACTGTCTTTTTTCTGGACTCCCGGATCAGCCACACTGGATCCTGTCAAGGAAGAACTTCAGCTGACATTGGTGAGGTTTGGTGTTAGGAGGAACTTGATTCTAATGCCTGGATTCTACCTGGTTGAAATTCCAGTTTAGGTGAATGGAATCAGTATCAGCTTGGAGAGACATCTCTACTATCTTCTTGCATTCAAGGTTGTTAATGAGAAGTCAGGTGTTTCTCAGGGTCTCCTTCCTCTGTAGGTAATACTTTTTCTCTCTGATAATTTTTAAGATTTTCTCTTTATCTTAATGCTCAGTTATTAACTCGTTAAACGTTCTCTCTCTATTCTTTATGTGTCTTTTTCTTGGAATTCCTGTTAGAAGGCTGTTGAATTTGTTTCCTATGACTGAACTTTTATATTTTTCTGTTCCTTTATTCTGCACACTGGGAGAATTTCTGAGTCCATTGTCTCTCTTGTTTTTCATTTGCATCTATTTTGCTATTTGGCCCTGAGTTTTTTGTTTAAATGATACAGTTTTCCTTTTCAAGGTTTCTAATTGTTCTTTCATAACCAACTACTCATGTTTCATAAATGTCTAATCTCATTATAATCTGATTTTATCTTATGGATGCAATAACCTTGCCTAATCTTTCTGTATATGAATTATACTTATATTTTTAATTTTTGCCAGCTTCATTGAGATATAACTGACATATAATATTGTGTAAGTTTATGGTGTACAAATGATGATTCTATATATTATATATAGCAAAATGATTACCACCATAAGGTCAGTTAATACATTTATCGCCTCACACAGTTACCTTTTTTTGGGAAGTGAGAAATTTTAAGATTTCCTCTCAACAACTTTCAGGTGTACATAATTGTACTTATTTTAAAATCTTGGTTTTGAAGGTACTATTAACTGGTCCTCTTGCATAAATTCTTTTGTTTGTTGAATTTTTGTCTCTCATTATTGACTTTCCTCAAATAAGTACCTGTGTTTCTTAATTGTAACTTCTCTCGTCTTTTTAGCTGTTTGTGGGGAGGCGCAGGAACAGCTGCAAGGAATTGGTATTAGCAGCACTGTTTTCAGCGTGAGTGTGGTTTGGGGGGACATTCTACAGGCTGGGGTGCCCTAGTAACTGGTCTCCTGGGCATGAATTCTTCCTTTTACGCTTGGCTGTCACCAGCTACTAGGACACTGTTTTGCCTTTTCCCCCAAAGTGCCTACACTACTCCTCCTTCCTGGAGACAAACACCCCCTTATTGCTGCCTGGACCATGGGAGATTTGGGGCACCTACCTCTCCTGCCCTGGCATTCCAGCGATTCGCCGTGATGGCTGCCTCCAGGTTCCTGCCTGCTGCGGTTCTGTCGCCTCCTGAGACAGACCGTGGCTCTTATCTCTGTGGACAACCCCCTGCGTGCTCCCTTGCGTGTCTCGGGGCTGCCTTTTATTCTTTGAGTCTTCCTCATAGTTGCTGGTACGCAAAGCATTCTCCTTACTGTGTTCTGACATGGCTAAGTTGTGTGTTTGGTCCACAAAATTGAACTGAAAGTCAGAAGTGGAGTCTTTAGTGACGTGACTCTAAGGCAATGGATTGCTTTTCCAGACATTTAACTCACCCATTATGTTGGCCTGCCACCTTCAGAACCAATAAAATGTAATTCCTCAGCAAGTGATTGAGCGAGCAAGACTCGCAGCAGTTGCTTAAGCAAACCCGTGCCATGTGCCTCTCCTTATGGTCAGGGATTTATTTAGCTCCTCTAACTTTACAAGGGAATGAGGGTGTTGGTAATGCCTCATTAATGTGGAGCCTTAAATAGAGAGCGCTGTTGAGCCTGGAACTCAAGGGAAGAGAAAGTAGGTCAGTTCTCTTGGCAGCAGCTGGAGGAAGGAGGGATCAGTGAGCAGGGCTCAAACAAGATTTGTCTGGCAAGGTGTAAACACTCCAGAGACAGAGACTGGCTCCCAGGGCCGCCTGAGACGTGAGAGGGGTTTGTCAGGACCTGATTCTGAGGGCTTGAGGTTTTGATGTTTGGGGACACTTCTTTGCATCAACAACTTGGTGACTTGGTGATTCTCCTGTTTCTATGACACCTGTACTGGTTCAAGACCCTTTTATTGTGTTCCCCAGGGCGCGTCACAGGAATCTGAGGTTATCAGGCCAGGAATTCCAAGGTGTGGTCTGTCAAACAAACAAACAAACAAAAAACTTAGAGGGCTGCAGGGATGTAGATTGTGCTCTTAGGGCTATGATAGAGACCTTTACAGAAAGGGTGAGAAGAGCCTATATTTGCCAAAGACAAACACAAGGTAGGATGCTTTTCTTGCTTTTATTTGGAGTTGTGTGGTCACGTGGGTATCTACAGCTCAGAAGCACTGAGTGTCAGCCCGATACACACCTGTGCGAGAAAAGTAGCAGTGGCATAATAAAGGAGCCCTTGGTGGTGAACGGGCTTGGGAGCTCCTGGTTGAACCATTTTCACATCCAGCAGGAAGGTCAGGTGGAGTGAGGGGGACATGCCTGTCTTGGGTAGGTGGTTGAATACTTATTCCTGGAATGAAAGAAGGAACTTGCGGAAGGTCACACAGCCATCCTCCTGCAGGGTCAGGAATGGAATCCAGGCCTTCTTGTTCTCTGTCCAGAGTTAGTCCCCATTCCCCAGGCAGACTGGGCCTGGCCTTCACATTGCCAGGAGGAGGGGCACACTAAATGGTTATCTAGTTCCCAGCAACTCCTGTCCCTTCTCCCTTCCCTTAAGGTCCTGGACGTTTGCCCCAGTGACTGTCAAATGTCTTTGCTTTAGGGCTATACTGGACAAGAAGCTGGCTGCCTCTGTGAACATCCTGCCCAAGGCATCCTCACTGTGAGTTTTGCTACGGCCAGTGGAGGGGTGTGGGAACGCCGCTGGGTCAGGTCCTGGCTGGTGGGAAGGGCAGTGGACTACTGGGGAATCGTGAAAGAACAATTCAGAGGCATTTAATTAATCAACTGTTGATTTGTATTCAGAGGAAATTAACTAGTGGGTTTATGTCATCCATGAACAAAAGCAAAAATGTGCTATGTGTAGAGAAAGGAGGAAAAAAACTCTATAGTTTAGGAACAGTGAATCTTGTTTGCACATTCTTTGTTAAAATCGATTAGTTTGCTTTTAGCAAAGAAGCCAGGCTGGACAGTCCATCCCTGAATAAGCCATCTAGGAATATCAAAGAAAATAATTTCCACTGTTTTTAGATACTTTAGAAAACCGAGAAGCTGGCTTATGTGACGAGCTACATGCACGCCTTGCCTGTCTTGTATTTCATCGACAGCTTCATCGTAGTTAAGCCCGGTCGGCACCGTTTCTCTCATCAAAATATTTTAGCATCCCACTACATGTGTTTCAGGATTTGTCTTGTGACTTACTTGCTCTGATCAGCCTGTTTCTCATCCCCTTCCCTCCTGGGAAGAGAGAGAGAATGAGAGAATGGGGGGTGGGGTAGGTGGAGAGGGCAATCTTGCCCCCTCTGAAGGTCGGAGCAGAGGAGCGCTCTGCTGTGAGAGCTCCCTCGCCGGCCAGCAGTGTCGCTGCCTCCGTGGCTCGCATCGTCCGGTGCTGTGGTCCCAACTTGGGCTGGACGTTAGGCTCCTTAGCTCCAGTCTAGGTCTACTCAATCAGGCTCCCTGAGGGTGGGGCTTGGGTCTCTGAATTTTTAAAGAGTTATATAGCTGATTCACATCAAGCTAGTCTGGGAACCAATGCTTGGGACCTAGAATGGAATTTCAGCCTAGCAATTCTATCCTGTGGCCTGTAGTGGGTCCTTTCGCCACAGCTCTGTGAGACGAGGCCAGTGGCCTATGTCATCTTAGACTTGCCCAGGGTCAGTGTAGATATTCGCAGGCCAAATGACTTTCCCTTCACATGATGCTGTTCTCGTACTCTTTTCTGAACATTATCACTGACTTTTAACGTTTGGACCTGTTTCCATGTCTTGTAAGGCTCACTTCTTCCCTGAAGCCTCCTGTGCTTTTTATTTATCCTTTCCCGGGCACTCAGTACCCAGAGTCAGTGACAAAAGTAGCACCGTTCCAAAGGATGGGGAGGGGCCTGGAAGCCACGGATAGAAAATGAGTGTTGAAAGAGCTAGAGATGCCCAGTTCAGAGGTGAGAAAACAGGAGTTTCTGCAGGGCTTTCCTGAGGTGGTTGTTCACGTGGAAGTTGGGGAAAACAAGCGGGAGGCAGATGCTGGCACACCAGAAGAAAAACCACCTCATGTGTAGACCTATAAGGTAGAAGTTCTTCTTCAAGAAATGGTGAGCCTCTCACCTCCAGGAATGTTCAAGCCGATGCTAGAAGCACACGTTAGAACGGTTCCACTGGATGACCTGCAGTGCCTTGGCCAACCCTAGACACTTTTATGTGGGCTTGGAAAGATTTTAAAGTTCCCATCTCAGTAAGGCACCTGCCTGGGCCAGGTTTGACATTTCACTGGGCTTGTTTTATGAGCGTGATAATTTGGTTTTGTTCTCTTCTCCAGCTACTTTTGGAATGGACAAATAGAAGAAGCCACTGAGATCCTGTTGGTGAGTGCGGCGGGGTCACTAGGGGAGGGGGCTTGATAGAAGAAGCCCAAGCGAGACCTAGGCCTTTTTCCCAGGTTCCAATGAAAAATTAGCAAAAGTCAACTGATTGCGGTTCTTGCCCCACATAGACGTCTGAGGTTCACTTGTGAGACAGCGACAGGGCTGGTGACCAGGAGGGAATGCTGTCCCCTAAATAGCCAGGCGAATGGGCAGCTGCAGAGCTGGGCTGATGTCCTAAAGCAGTGATTTTTTTTTTTCTTTTACAGTTAACAAAGACAAAGACTTCCAAGGTCCACATTTTGTCCAGTTTTGTCAGGTAATGCTGGCGTCTCTTCTCAGCCAGGAGCGTTCGATAGGGATTCAGTGGAGGAGCTTGAAAAGCAGGAAACCTAGTCGCCCGACTTTCCGTGTGACCCTGGATATGTGCCTGTGCCTCAGATTCTCCATATGTAAAACGAGAGGCTAGAATGAGTTAGTTCATACCAGTGGTTCTCAAAATTTTGGTCTCAGGAGCCCTTTGCACTTTTAAAAATTATTGAGGACCTAAAAGAGCTTTGTTTATGTGGATTATATCAAAGTTTATTGCATTCGAAATTAAAACTGAGAATTAAAAAATTTTAAAATAACAATAATAAAACCATCACATAGTAATGTAAATAATGCATTTTTATGGAAAGTAACCATATGCCCCCCCCCCCCACCAAAGTGAGAGGAATGGCACCATTTTAAATTTTTGCAAAATCTGGCTTAGTAAGAAGGATCTTTAAATATTGGGACACTTTTAAAGCTCATGGTGATAAATTCAAGTTTTACAAACATCTAATTTTTGCTTGAAAACATAATTTTTTCCATTGGCAGCAAATGATTTAAATTGTTTTAATTTGAATGATGGACTCACTTTGTTCCTGTATTAAAATATGTCTACCTAATTCTCAAATCTGGGTAACCATAATTTGTAAAATTGACAAATTATGGGAACTCAGGCTTAAAAATGGTGTTCCATGAAAAAACCTAGTTTTAGCTTCTGACTCAAACAGTCAGCCAAGTTTAAGACACCATTGAATTTAGGCATACAGCAAAGTGTTCTATGTATACTTTCTGCTTTGTCGCACAGTAGTAAAAAGACGTACTCAGGGGTTGAAATGTAATAAAAGTAGTTATTTTACGCCTTAGCTGGTGTGGCTCAGTGGATTGAGCACCAGCCTGCAAATCAAAGGGTCGCTGGTTCGATTCCCAATTAGGGTACATGTCTGGGTGTGGGCCAGGTCCCCAGTAGGAGGTGCGTGAGAGGCAACCACACGTTGATGCTACTCTCCCTCTTTTTCTCCCTCGCTTCCCCTCTCTCTAAAAATAAATAAATAAAATCTTAAAATAAAAAATATTTAAAAAAATAAATAAAAATAGTAATTTTTACCACTTTGTCAAGGATGTTCTTCAGTGAATTTGACTTCTTGCAAATGCAGGTGTGGTGGAGGATACAGTGACAGCTAGTGCAGTTTGGTGCCAGGGTGTCTGTGCGTGCTAAGGTACCAGCGGTTTTACCCATCGTTGCTTTTGCACTGGTAGTGCAAATGTCAGCACAGCGAAGACATAAATAACATGTTAGTAGCATTATGAAATAGTTTTGGTCTCATGGACCTCCTGAAAGAATCTTGGCGTTCCCCAGGGTCGATGGACTTTACTTGCAGAACCACTGGTTTAACGCCCTCCCATTCGAAGTGTGGTTTTGGAATCACTGGCATTGCCTGGAATCTTGCTGGAAGTGCAGTCTCATGGTCTCCACCTACTGAACCAAGCTTCAGCTTAACATGATCCCCAGGTGATCCCTTGCACGTTAAAAGCTTGAGAAGTACTGGTCTAAACTAGTGACTCTTGATGCTGGCTAATCCTGTAATCGCTTGGAGGTGTTTTCAAATTACCAGTTTAGGCCCTGCTTCAGATTTTGACTTAATTTATCTGGGCTGAGGATCAAACATGTTCTTCAGAAGCACCCAGATTGACTCTAATGTGCAGTTAGGGATGCAAGTCACCGATCAATGATAAAAACTCTTTTCCTTCATTGCAACCAGGATTCTGTGACAAGATGGCTATAGTCTGGTCTCAGGTCTAGCAGTAGAGAAGGCCCGGTGTTACCGCCTTAGCAGAGGCGTGGGAATAAGGCACCTTTGGTGGAACCAGCACTACCAAGAAGTTACGGCTTATCGGGTGAGGGACAGCTTCAGGGTTAAGATGGTAAACCTCAGAGCTTGACCTCCAGGGTCCAATCCTGGCTTCTCTACTTGCTAATTGTAGCCCAAGTGCACGCAGATTAGCTAGACTGTGCCTCAGTTGGCCATCTATAAAACGCGGGCCATACTAGTGCCTCAGGATGAATTTATGTGAAGTGTACGCATGAAGTACCGTATCAATGGCAGCTCTTACTGCTGATGTGTTAGATGCCTCCCTCCCTATGTCTGAACACTGTATGTCTGCTTATAAAAACACATACACTGTTCCAGGCATCCATGAAATAAGAAAATTCATTATCCTGGGGCACTGGATAAAATTACCCAGCTCACTGCAAGTGATTAAGCACCTACACACGTGTTGTGATGCATGCTGTCCCCTGAGAACCTCACAGTGTCTCATTCCACGGAAAGGAGGCAGGGCATTAGGACTCCCTTTTGGCAGGTAGGAAACCAAAGCCCCAGGCCTCGTGTTTCCTCAGTCTGGAAAATGAAGAAAACTTGGCACTGGGTGCCAACGGCCCAGTGAAAGAAAGGGGAAGGAGGGAGGGGGAGTCTGTGGGTTTGGATGGTCAAGGAAGGTCCCTTGGGAAAAGTCAATAGTTGAGTTTAACCTTGAAGGATGGAGAGGTTTTTGATTGATGAACAGGAGTGCGGAGAACGTGCCACACACAACTTGCCAGATGGAGAAAATACAGCGGTGTTGGGGAGGGCGCAATGAGGAGCGCGGGATAGTGGTAAAGACAGCACTGACACTTAATGAAGGCATACTGTACCAGTCAGTGCACCAGGTAAGTCCTTTATGTACTTTGTCTTCTTTAATATTCAGGAGCCCAGTCATGTACATGCTATTTTCAGTCCCTCTTTTATAAGGCCTGTAGAGAAATTAAGTGAATTATCCAAAGTTACACAGCTCGTAAGGGGCAATCTTGGCATTTGAACCCATGTCTATGAGACTCAGAAGCCATCTGGCCCAGCTCACCACTTGCAGGCAGATGGAAAACATAGGCTCGGGGTGGCGGATCATGGAGCTGGCCAGGCAGGCCGCAGCAGACTGCAGAGGGCCTCGAGCGAGGCCGGCCTGCTGGGTTTTGTCGCATGGACCGATTTTAGTCACAGTCACTCATAAGACTGCTTTCTTTTCAAAGGCTGATGCACCCTTTTGAAATCCCAGAAATCTTCAGTCTTCCCATGGACCAAGGAGATGTGCACTATTTCAAGTGGCTGGAGGAGGGCATGGAGGAGGACTGAGCGCGGGAAGCTCTCTGTGGAACCTGCTGGCTGCCTGCGGCCTTCATGCTGCACTCCGGGGGAGGGAGGCCTCTTTCCGCCTCCCAGCATCTCTGGATTCCATGTTTTTGCCAGCACAGAAGAGCTACGTAACTCGTGGGTGCTGGAGGTCTGAGGCTTCTGAGGCTGGAGGAGGAGGCCAGGCCATCAGGCCAAGCAAAAACCCAGTGGAACTTGTCTCTGAGTGCTTCACCCTTAGAGGTGTCTGGGGCTGGGAGGGCAAGGGTGGTTGTGTGTAGGGGACAAAGGGTGGCGGCGAGGGTGAGGTGTGTCATCCTCAGCGGTCACTGGGCCCACCTTCAGTCTGTGGGGTAGAATTACCCTCCTGGTTCTCAGGAGGAATAGAGCTGATGACCTGTTTATCTAGAAGGATCTGGGATGAATGTCACCTCCTAGAGGAACTGGCAAGCACTTTCTTTATTCAGAAGGATGGATTGGGAATGGTGCAATTTCAGGGACAAGCAGGGCTCTTTCTCCAAGCTGCAGATGGGCGTTCGTTCTCGTTCTCCCCGAGCCCTGAGGGGGGGGCCTGAGGCAGGCTTCAGGGCGCGTGTGGGCCTGGGGGAAGGGCAGTGCTCAGACAGAGCCTCCTGGATTGGGACCCGGTCTTGCCTCTTTCCTAGCCTGAGTATGGCAGACATCAGAAGGCTCTGGTGCCTTGCTCCGTAGAGACGCAGGCTCTGAGCCCACCATACTCACCTTTTTACTTGAGCATTGAAACTGAGCATCCTAAAGCAGGCAAAAGCACCCTGGGGAACTTCTAGACCCGTGTTCTTCAGACTCGCTCCAGAGTCCCAGAGGTTGACAGAAGGGGCTGGGACTGCCTACCCCCCATGTGCCCCCCCACCAATACTTCAGCCAATGCAACTATACTTTGAGTATTTTAATGTATTGAGCTATCTAGTAAGATTAGTAGGATTTTTAAGTTTTCTTTGTTAAAAGTTATAAACTGGTGGTCTAAGCCAGTCTCTGTTGTGTAGATTACTGGAGAAAACTGAATGTACTGCGGTCCAGAAAGGGGGCATGTTGTCACGAACAGTACCGCCAAGGCTGCTGGCCCTGTGCCTGGCGCTCTCGTACACCCGCCCCATGGTCACAGTGGAGGAGGGCAGGGAAGGCCGAGCGCCCTGTAGGGAGAGACGAGAGGCTTGACCTAGGCCCCTCCAGGATTCTGTCACAAGGTAACACCACTCCGGGGAGCCCATGTGCAGTTTGGGGGAGGGTCCCCTGAGCGTGGGTCCGCAGGCATCTGTGGTAACCGGGCCCTTCTTCCCAGAGGGAATGGTATGTGGGAGGGGTTGTGCTAGGCTCTGTTCTGACTCCTGCTGTTCTTCTTGGACCTTTGTGCCTCCAGATATAAACTGGGGGAGAATTTCCAAGGGCCTTTATGTGAAGACCTTGTAGGGCCTTCCGGTGGAGGCCCTCCCAGAGGTCCAGAGAATCCTTTTTTGATAGCCACTGGGGATTGTGGCGGGCTCCTTCAGGAGAAGAACGAAGAGAATGATGATGATGATGTCCCTTTCTACAACAGGTGTTTCTGATACGTAAGAAAAATCTTGTGTAAAGTCAACTCTAGTGAAAACATACGGGAGACCTCAAATGGACTGCCCGTGTTGCTTTCAGGACAAAGTCCAGTTTCTTGGTCTGGCCTTTAAGGCCCGTCATAGCCGTGCCCTTCCTCACTTTTTCCGTCCTCACCTACCTCTCCTCTCCCACTTGGGCAAGGGACTGCCCCGGTGAGCTGCGCGCGCGATGGTGCTCCTGTGTCCATGCCGTCCCCGCTGCCTGGGGCGCCCCTCAGCGCGCACGCTGGGGAATGTGGCTGCTGCTCTGCGAGGCCTGGCGCCCCTGCCGGAAGCAATCCCTCCCGCCTGGTTGCCGTTACCCCGGTGCATCAGCCAGCCTTGTACTTCTAGACTGAGCTACTCGAGGTCGGCAGCAGGTCTGAATCTGTTTGATCTCTTGTACAGGACTTAGCAAATAGTTCCCAAATTGATGTTTCAAGGATTTGAATAACTGAAGCTCTTTCCACAGCCTGAGGTTACTTTCTAATTTATGGAATTGGCAAAACCCAACTTTTTGTCCTTGAACCTTCTTAAAGTGGGACTAATTCCAAATTTCTATCTGTGGCCTTTATTGGGTCATTCTCTGTGCCGACTGTGCATTGCAGATTGTTTCTTAGTGGCCTTTCTCGGCTGTGGCGACTATCACAGGAATTGGAAGGGGAGGGGGTGGGGCACCGGCTCTCTCTGCCAGGTACCGTCCTAGGTTCTTACCATTATTTCATCCTTAGAATTCAGTGTTTTCATTCTGCAGATCCAACCAGAGATCAGAAAGCATAAGACTCTTAAAATAAGTGGCAGCTAGGCTCTGAACGCAGATCTGATTCTAAATTGACGCTCTTTACAGGCTCTTTCAAAGAGGCTGGACAATATCCTTATGTAGACCAAAGACCCAGAGAGCCCGTTGTGGCCTACCCTAAAGGGAGAGTTCTCAGTTCCTAAACCATCTATGTACTAAGTTGGTCTGGCACTTAAAAATATATCACATTGTTTCCTTCTCCCCACAGATCTGGAGGTTAGTGACAGTATCCTCATTCCACAAATGAGAGGACAGACTTAGAGGAGTTCAGTCATGCTAGGGTCTGCGTGACCCCAGCGTCCATGGGCTGGCCTGTACCACACTGACCTCCCCGAGTGATGCTGCGGGAGCAGGGGCCGGGACCCAGACTGCTGTGCCCACGTGGGAATGCCTTCCCAGCATTTCCCAGGAAATGTATGTTTTTGAATCTGCAATCCCCAGAAAAATCAGTCGAGGAAATGAGAAAAAAATATTAAAATTACCTGTGAATACTAAAGCTTAAAAGCATAGGAACATTACTGGTTTGAAGGACTCCATCAAATAAAAAATGAGCAAGGAACACTAGCGTGCCAAGCAGAAGGTTAGGAGAACCAGGACAGGAGCATGTGGGAGAGAGAGGTGCGCTGTCCCAGCGGTCTTGCTTATGATGGTTATGTCAGAAGTGCCTGTCTAGTCCTGTCTGCCGTAGACCGTGAATTATTCTTGCAAATGAAATAAGTTTATACACAGAATATTTGATACAAATCCTGTGAGCAGTATTCCACAAAATAAGCATTGGAAGCAAAATAAAGTCTAAATTTGACAATTTTGACACATGATTCTTAATACTGTTCTCCCTGTAGGATACTTGAATGTTACGTTATTTGAATATTATTCAATAGTGTTCCCTGGCATTTTCCAGTATTTAAATATTCCCTCTAGGCTCCAGTTCTTTGTAGATACTGTGCAACTAAGCTTCGTATTCCTATTTGTTAAACAAAACATTTTCCAGATGCCTATAACAATAAGGAAAGAATATAAACTGTTTTAAGAATAACTTAAGGACTTAGGGATTTTCTGAGAATGCTCCTACATTCCAAAGATTAGTATTTGTTGTAGGTTTGTACACACTACCCCAGACCACTCTCCAGCCTGGGGAGGACTGCTGTCCGCAGGAGGGGCTCGTTAGCTGCTCACTGTGGGATCTGGACAAAAAACCAGGTCTCTTGACACCTCGTGGCCTTCACTTTCATTCCACTCCATTGATTTCAGCCCAAATAACAATCCTGATCCCCCGCCCCAGTTCCAACTGTGGTTTTGTTCCAAGGGCAGTTAAAAGGTTGAAACAACCCTGACGGGGTGACTCATTTGGTTGGAGCATCATCCCATACACCAGAAGGCTGCAGGTTCGACCCCTAGTCAGGGCACGTATAGGAGGCAACCAGTTAGTTCCTTTCTCACATACATGTTTTTCTCCCTTCCTCCCTTCTCTCTCTCTAAAATCAACATATCCTTGAGTGAAGATCTTTAAAAAAGCAGTTGGAGCCGAAGGAATGGTAGATAAAAGTGAAAGCCATAGTTCATGTTTTTAGGGGCAGACATGCGCACTTGCAGGGATTACTAGGCTGCACTCCCTGCCCCCAGAACCCCAGGTTCCCGTCAGACCCTTGGTCTTCACCTCCCTGTAGCTGACTTTTTCCTGCCCCTTCACATCTGTTTCTCTCTCTCCAAACTGCCCCAAATGCAGAGTTTATCTAAAGTAATAAGCCGTGATTTTCTATGTGGAAGGGTTCCCCCTCAGCACCGGGGACCTGAACGCTGGGGGGGTGGGTTACCTCTGCCACGTGAAGGATGAAGGGTCTGGGCCAATGGACTCTGACCAAAGGGGAACCGGTTCTACCCCGAAGAGCCAGGCCTGGCACTCACTCCGCATTTCTAGGACTGTGTGCCGCTGTGCACTGAAGAGTTTTAGAAGTCTGTGCTTACGGATTTTAACACAGCCAGCTTCTAGGTCCCCCTCCCCTCCTTTATTGCTTCTCTGTGGCCCTCAGCTAATGCTTCTTGCCCCCATGGGGCAGGTACTCACAGTAGGAAAAAGGCTCCACATCCTCTTGGTGGTGAGGGTGAGGGCCCTGCTGAGGGAACCGCAGGCAGTGGTGGGAGCGGCAGGGTGGCCAGGGAGCGGACGGTCCCGCCGTTCCTCAGCTTCCAGGGAACCAAGGCCAGAAACCCCAGCCAGCTCCTCCTGCTCCCCAACTGCTGATAGTTCAGTGGGGAGAAGATAGGCCACTTTCCAAAGAGAGCTTTTGAGTTGTACATCAGACACATTAATTAAACTTTAATATAACAAATGTTATTAAAAGCAGCAATTCAAAACCATTAATCTCAGAAGGTGCACAGGATTATGATAAGGTCAGTTGGCAGTAATGCAGCCATGATCTGGTACGAATGAAGTGCTGGGGTGAGGAGTCAGGGTGACCTCGCTAGGCCTTCTGCTCACTTCCCAATCGGGGAAGACACCCTCCCCTCCCTTCCCCCTCTTCAAGCCCAGAGCTGCTCTGGAGCCCAAGTAGAGAAGGTGCGTGTGCACCGCAACAGCTTGCTTGTCCTGTGCCTTCTCAGAGGCCTGGAGAGCAGGCCCGGGAGGTTGCGGTGCTCTCTGAAGCCAGGCAGGAGGCCACAGGTTGGGCCCCAGGTCCCGCACCCCTGCTGGGCCGGGGGCTGCCTTCTCAGCCCCTTCCACCTGGCCCGGCTGGGGGATTTGGTGGCAGCAGCTGTGGGGCTGAGAAGGGGGAGAACTGGGCCCAACGCTAGGCAATCCCTCTCTGGTCCATGCCAGGGAAGCACAGAGAAGTGGGAGGGCTGTGAACAGGAAGTGAGGGCCCACTGGAAAGGCACTGTAGGAGCCGCGGCTTAAGGCAAGGGGCATCCGATCACAGGGACCCCCTGGAGGCCCCCAGGCGGGGAGGGGGTCAGCCTGTGGGGCAAAACCAGCTCCTCGGGCCTGCAGCCCCGTGCCGTTCTCCCACCTTCGCCTTGCAGCCCGCAGCACTCAGCAGGGCTGGCCCGCATCCGGTGCACGCCCCGCCCCCGGTCAAGGCACTTCTTTCCATCTCTCAATCTAGTCCATTTCTAAGATCTCCGGAAGCAGCAAAAATGAGGGGTACCCTCCCATTTTTGGTTTCCCTCCAGACGGGTGTGAGTTTTAACGTCGGTTCTAAGAATTCTATTTATACTCCCACTGACAAGGGCCTCCCTTGGAGGGGACTGAATGACGCAGGCCCTTTAAATCTCCCAACCTGTCCCAAAAAGTGATTGTCAGTTCAAGGTGGGGCAGGGCATAAGGCCGAGGAGCAGGGGGTAAGGCCCCGTGCTTCCGGCGGGGGGGCAGAGATGGTTCATGGGCTGAAGGAAGGGGCAGGGGCTGGACTTTCACATTTCGTTGTAGCACATGGTCCCTGGAAGGCGCAGGGAGTAGGGGGCAAGGGAGACAAGGGCTGTCACTGGAGGGAGGGAGGGAGGGAGGGTGTGTGTGTGTGGGGGGGGTGTGTACACGTGTGTACACCTGGAGGCCAGGGGCCAAATGTTTGTGCCCGAGGGTGAAAGCACACGTGGGTGGAAGCTTATGCGTGAGGGAATGTGTATTCGGCTGCACATGGTGGGGGGGGGGGAGGCGTGGGAAACAGTCGGAGGTTTGGCACGCCATGCCTTTCTTTCATCCCACAGACTCTGACTCTCCCTGTCCCCAGGTTTTCAAGGCCACCTCCATTCCTGCAAGGCCAAGCCCAACTCCAGGATAACGAAGCGGGGTGTGGCCAAGCAAAGGAAAACGGGGGCCTCAGAAGCTTACTCCGCAGCCCCGACTCTGAGCCTTGGCAGCTGGGCTCTGGTGCTGGTACCTTCGCACCAGCCTCTTCACGCCTCAGATTCTGAGAGTCCCAGGGTCTCTGCCGCCCAGGCTTTCCCGGAGGCCTGCTACCCTCGCTGCCTCTTCCAAGGCTGGGGGCCGGGGGCAGGAAAGCGGAGAAAAGAGCTCAGAGAGCCCACCTCACCCGCCTTCACCCATCTTCCTAAGAGGCCCCTGTTCTCATGGTGTGGGTCCTGGGGGACTGGGCGCCCCGTGAGTCAGGGGTGAGGGACTGCATGCACGTGTAGGGGTCTAAACAGACACACCCCAAAGGGTTAAGAGGTAAGTGATACAAAGTTGGGGACAAAGATTCAGGCTTCAGGAACGAGGGTGCCAGGGCCAAGGGGACACACACTCAGAGGAACAGGTGAGCGGTTTGAGGGAGTGGGGAGTATGTGGAGACAGGGGGACCTTAGAGACACAGGCAAAGGGGTGATGAGCCTGAGGCGCCCGAGGACAGAACAGCGTAGCAGAGAGGTGCAGACCCCGGCCCGGAAGGTGTGCGGGAGGGCCCCGCGCCAGGCACTTGAGCTCTGTGTTGCTTCCTTCCCACACCCCAAAGGGAACTGGGGAGCCTGCAGCTTCCACTGTCCCTTCTTTGTTTCCCAGGGGTCTTGGCATCCCCTTAGGGCTAGTCAGTAAGGGGTGGTCCCTTCCCACTCCACCAGGTACTGAACCTTGCCCTCGGGCGTGACCCTTCGAGCCAACACCTGGTACTTCTCCCCACAGGCCAACCGCCCAGCTGCGCCGAAGTAGTTAGTGATGGAGGACTTGAGGTGGGACAAGGACGAGTCATCTTCACTGATGCTCTCAAATGTGTGGCTGTCGATGCCTTCGTCCGGCCGCTCGGGGCCCGAAGCCCCCTCTGCACCGCTGTCCGAGGGGCAGGGTCCCCCCAGCTCGGCCGCCCGCCGCTTTGCCCGCAGTGGCGTGTACGCCGTGGCTGCCAGCTTCCTCTTCCGGCTGCCCACTGTCCGTCTATGTCAGGGGGGGAAGAGAAGGATGGGAATGAGATGGACGAGCCCTCACAAGCCCCTCTCCCGGAGCACTCTGCTGGGCCCCAGGCCCGGGGCCAGCCCAGGCACAGACTCCCCCGCTGCAATCCACCACAGCTCCGTGAGGAAGGAAACTGGCTCCAGGGGAGAAGCCACCAGCCGGGGAATGACAGAGCTGGGACTCAGACCTAGGTGTGTCCAGCTCTAAAGCACACGCTCTCTATGTTTCGGATCTCAGCCCCGCGCAGGCCCAGGGGCACCGTCCTCTGTGCCTGCCGAAGCCGTGTCCTGCTCACCTGGCCTGCCCTCACCTGGGCTTGTGTAGCCAAAGGAGTCAGGTGGGGGTAGGGTGGCGGTTAGGGATGAAAGTGCCCCGTGCCCCAGAGTCTGGACTGGAGACAGACGTGTGCACATGTGCACACACAAGCGCACAGAGGCAGGCGTGGCAGGGAAATGGACACACAAGAAGAGGCATGTTCACAGACACGTGAAACAGAAAGAACTGAAGGACTAGTGAGAAGAAACTGGAAGAAACAAATGAAAATCCAGAGGCAACACCAGAGAAAGACGCCTAGACAGAGATGGCTGGTGATAGAGAATAACTCCCAAGACACGTAATTTTACTTTACAGGGGCCTCCAGTACCCCAAAATCCAGCTGAAGGAGACGGAGTTCAGAAGAACTAGTGTATGTGCTTTGTAGCACCACCCTCGCTGTGTTGCTGAGGACTGGCTGTGGCCACTGGACCCTCAGCGAGGCCTCCGGGACTTCTGTCCCTCTTCTAGACCCTATACCCTGCAGGGAGACACGCTCCTCTGCACCAGGTTTCCAAATCGATGGCTCTCTTCCTTCAAGACCCGGAAGACAGAACTAGGGGTGGGACCCTGCAGTCAGGCACAGACACGCAACACCATGGCACACAGAGGCTGAGGCCCCCAGAATGAAAGAACCTCGGGTCCAATGACCCCAGAGCTTGGAACTGCCCGGAAAGAAAAACGCGACACCACCTTCTGCAGCGGTCAAAACGGAGCAACCAGGAAGTCCATTCTCAGACCAGAGGGTCTCAGGCCCAGGCTCACAGTGGCAGACGGCCAGGTCCCTCCGCCCAAGACTCAGATGCACAGAAGGAGCCGCCCGTCACAGATGTGGGAGGTGGAGGGCTGAGGGCGAGGACAGAACGGGAGGCCAGACTGCCGGGAGGCTTACCTGGAGTCATAGGACAGGCTGGTGGAGGCGGAGCCAGAGGTGCTGGCGGCGTCTGTGGAGTCCACGTCTGAGAAGAAAGTCTGGCCTAAGCTGGCACTGGGAGGGAGGAGAGGGTGAGCCTGCCGTCAGCCCTCGGCGCCCCTCGTGACCTCTCCAGCGGTCCCTCGGCCCTCCGACACGCACCCTTCATCCCAGCAGGGCCCCGTTCCCACTGCTGAGCTCCCTGCCACCACGCCTGCAGTGGCTGTGTCCTCTCTGCCCGTCCGTTTCCCACCCTTCCAGAATCTAAGGCCAAGGAGTCAAGGAAGCCGCCCCTGACTGATCAGAAGGCGATGATGAACATGATCCCAGACACTTGTGCAACACTTCACAGGCCCAACGTGTTTTCCTTTACAGTATCTCCTTTGAATCTCATCGCCACACAAAACCAGGTGAGGAGGTTCACAGAGGTTAAAGAATTTTGCTCAAGTTACGCAGCCAGTAACCAGCGCCTACCGGAAAGCACTGAGCGACCTTAGTGATTTCAGAAGTAAAGCAATGGAATGTGCAGACCCTCCCCTTGGGTGGCCCACACCCCGGGTGCTGTGGGAACACACAGGGAATGTCCGAGGCAGCCTGCGGAGGGGCAGTGAGGGCTTCCCGGAGGAATGTGAGTGTGGGATACCCACAGCAATTCCGGTGTAACGTGTGGGGCCGGGAGAAGCAGGAGAGGGGCCGGAGAGGTGGGGAGAGCCCGGGCGAGGCTGGCCCTAAACGCCGCTCGGAGGGGCTGCCCGCGGGAGCCCTGAAGACCCCCCAGCAGGGGCTCTGATGTAGACCCTTCAAGCAGCCTTAGGCACCCAGAGTCCTTCAAAGGAGGGCTCCCAAGCCCTCAAAAGGCTCCTGCCTCGCACTTTCCAGAGCCTGCCTGCACCGCTGGGGGTGGGGGGGTGGAGGTGGGCGCCTGCTTGGTGTCATCGCAGCCTCCAGAGTGGACCTCTCTGCTGGGCCCCTCGCTGTTACCTCTTTAAACTCTGAATTTCATCCAATGTGAAGTCAAATATGCTGGCCAGGTGGTGGTTGGTGCTCCAAGCCGAGGTAAAGTCGCTCTGTGGACAGAGGAAGTGGGGGGAGGGTGGGTCCGCGAGCATCAGGTCTCCCCCCTTCCCCTGCCGCGCTGACTGAGGCCATGCAGGCTGGGCCGGTGCTGGTGCCCGCAGAGGGCGGGACCCTCCCGGGGCAGGACTCCTCGCTCGCTCGCTCTCATTCCCAGTCCGGACCAGGGAGCCACGCCACCCAGCTCTGGGCCTGGCTTTGTCCCTGGCCTGACTGCATGTCGCTCCCATGTCTGGGTCTCAGTACCTCAGCTGCAGAAGCAGACAACAGCCCCTGGCGCGCTCCACTCTGAGCGGTGTTAGGAAGCACCGTCGAACGGAAAGTGCCTTTGTAAACTGTGAGGTGCCTGACAGGAGGTGGGAGGCACTGCTGATGCTGCTGCCTGAAGGGGGGCTTCAGTGGGGCCGCAGGGCACTGAAGGGGGACAGCGACTGCTGGAGCCCTGGGCTCCGCCACTGCCTGAGGTGCGACCTCAGGAAGGTGACTGCCGCTCCCTGGCCCTCAGTTCCCCCACCTGGACAGTGGGGACAAGGATACTACCTACCCTAACCCCGCTTCAGGTTCTAGGGAGAACTTGGGGAGCCCGGGGTGTTTTTTGTTTAGTTGTAAGAGGAGCTGGCTCCTCCTTTATGGGAGATGGGACAATCCCCTGGGCCTGGGGGACTCACTTTCTGCACAGGAATCCCTAGTGTGTGCTGACCCTGCGTGTGAACGTGGAGAGTAAGAAAACAAGAAACTAACACTGGGAATGGCATCTTCCAGCAAAAACTTTGATCTTTTTCTTCTATAAACTCGCCTTTTTTGCTGCTGGAATTCATGAGGCAACAAACTGTGGAGACAGAAAAGGGAGAGGGTTGCCCAGTCAGAGCCTGAAGGCCCAGGAAGGGGCCCAGAGGGAGGAGTGGCAGGGGCTGCACTGGGACCACAGCCATGGGGGCGGGGACGGGCGCTCCTTCAGAAGGAGCCTGGGGCAGCAGGTGTGGGAGGGGACAGAGGGAAGTGTCATGGGCAGAAAATAAAGAAAGTGCCTCTCCAGGCACATGCATCCAGATGCTCTGCCCCCCAAGCCCAGGGTGAGGGGGCTCAGCTCCACCGAGGAGCCTCGGACTCCTTGCACTCCGACTTCCCTGCCTCAGCCCTTACCCGGCAAGGCTGGGTCCCAGGATCTGGCTTTCCCTCCAAGCAGGGCAATAAGGGGCTGTGGCGGAAGGAGTCGCAATGTGGGACCAGCCCTGGCTCGGCCCCTAACTGGCCGCACAGGGTGCCTCCAGCAGGCACTGGCTGGGCGTGCACCCTCCCTGCCTGCTTGGGTGCTAGCAGGCTGTCTGGGCCCATCGCCTGGCCTGTCGGCGGGGGCTGGGAGCGGAGAGCAGAGATCCAGGCTCGGCTGCAGCCCCGGTCCCTGGGTCCCCGGGCACTGACCCAGGCTTGCTCTTTCCTCTCTTACGCAGCTCAGAGGAGGCGCCATTCTCAGTGGGCACCAGGCCCTTGTCAGGCAGCAGCTTCCCTGGCGGGTTGGGCGGGACGCGGATTCGCAGGCGGAAGATGCACTTCTTCTTCTTGATCTCCTTGCCACAGAGGAACCTGGGGGTAGGGGTGGAGTGGGCAGGGGAGGAGAATCAAGCATTAAACCCACTCTCTCCGCCTCCCTGGACCCAGAGCCAAAATCCCGAAGAGCTGCAGATTCCTCAAACTCCCAGGTGGAGGCTGAGGATATGGCTGGTGGTCTCTCCCTCTCCTTCCGCTGCATGTGTGTGGCTTTTGCTGCTCCTCTCTTCTCTGCCTCAACCAGCCCTAAGGCCACCTGGCACAGGAAGGCTACCTCCAGCTCCCAGAGGAACACCATTCTGCTCTCCGTTCTCCTCAAGGAGACGCAAAGCACCCCTAGGCACTGCCCTCCCCCTTCCCACACCAGCTGGGCTGCCAGGAGGCTGCAGTGGTGACTCAGACACAGCCCTACCCTCAGGAGGCTCTCCCCTCGGAGGACAGGAGCCTCGCTGGCTCCAGAGCAGGGCTGTGTCTGGGCCCCAAACCGTGAGAAGGTGGGAGGGAGTGGGTGAGCCTGCCTCGCTGTGTCCTCACGCCTACACAGGGCTGATGGAGAGTGGCAGTTCCATAAATAGCTGTGGATGGAACAAATGAATGAAGGGGAAGAATGTGGGCAAAAGCACGAGTGGGAAAACAAAGGGCTCAGAATGGCAAAAGGGACCGTGGCGGAGTCTCATAGGAGGCCACGAATGATGTGCTAAGGAGCCTGGGCAGTCCCTGTGGTTGGGGGCGAGGGACATGTTCGCTGTGTGTCTGAGAAGCACTCAGACAAGTCTGGACAGGCAGCCATGGGCCATACGGCCCGCCTGAGGGAGGGTGAATCGGTCCCTCGGTGCCTGGCTCAGAGCTACTGTAGGTGGCTAGGGCAGCAGGGGCCCTCAGAGGTCGGGGTGCAGATGAGAATGTGTCACATGCTGCCGGGAGGGTCGAGGAAGCATCACAAAGGAGGTGGGGTGTCCCCTGCATCTTGAAGGACAGGTAGGATTTAGCCAGCCGAAGAAAAGGGGCGGGGGACTCAGGCGGGGAGCACACCTTGAGCAAGGACTATGAGGCAGGAAGAACCTTTAGATTGAAATCCCACCTGTAGGGGGGCCCCACGGCACTCCCTTCCCTGCACGCACCGGCTTTTGTAACTGTTCAGCGCGTTGAGGAGATGCGGTCCTCGGTCGGTCACGGGGGTGCTGGTGAGCTACGGGGGAGCAGGCCAGCAGGACAGTCAGACCCTGACATCTGGCGTCTGAGGAGGCCGCCGCCAAACACCCGCCTCCCCCTCAGTCTCCCGAGTCCTCCAGGTGAGATCCACTCACTTATCCATGACCTCAGACAAGTCTTTTCACCTGTGCTCAGTTCCCACCTGTAACTGGGGCGAGGCACTCCTGTCCCAAATGCATCAAGAGCCTTAAAGGCGTCCATGCCCTTGACCCAGTGATGCTACTCCATGGACTCTATCATAAGCACATAACACGAAACATGGACAAAGGTTTACGCACAAAAGTGTTCACGGCAGCCTGGTTTCCAATGCTGGGCCAATGGGAAAAATTGGGGAGAAACTATGTCCAACAGGAAAGAAGTAAACTATGGTGGAAATCCATGCAGCCTTTAAAATGTTCATGAAAACCCTTCCATGGTATGAAAAGGTATAATATAATGTAAACTGCAAAAGAGTAATTAAAATACTGAATAATCTAAACCACGTAAAAAGAGAAAACACACAGAGAACAGAGGATGGAAGGAAATGCGCCTGCGCATTAACAGCAGCTGTTTCTGGGTTGTGCTTTTCTTTTTTTTTTTTTTTAACACATATACCTCCTTATGCTTTTTAGTACTTTAAAATTGTTCTACCAGGAACATGTAGCTGTTTTGTAAATCAGAAAAAAAAGTTGTTTTAAAAAATATACCAGCTCTACCTATCCTTCGGGGCTTTATAATATGTATGTCTTATAAATTATCAAACACTGTAAATGAAGATGTTATACGAAAAACTTTGGCAAAGCATAAGATTACCTTCTTCTTTTTTTTTTTTTTTTTTGTAAATCCCTGTCTTTTCAAAGAAGGATTTGGAGCAGTCAGCAGAGAAGATGGCTCATTTGAGATGTGGCAGAGAGGATTCTAAGGGTGTCAAGAGGAAAAGGGGACATGGCTCCACCATGGGAGTCGTTGGGGAGGGCTCGGCTCGGCTGCATTCTTCTGCTATTCAAAGGAGGACCAGCAGGGGGCAGGCCCACCTCAGTTTTCGTCCTGGCCAGGCAAATTGGACTAGGTCAAATATCGGTGGAGAGTCCTGCTCCAGCCAGACTTGATCCTTAGTTCTGTACAGCTGAGTCTGTGAGATCCTAACCTGCCCACTGTCAAAACCTGGGTCAGGAAGCCCTGGGCACAGCACAGGCTCAGAAGTATGGATTCAGGGATACAGCAGCTCAGAGGCTCTGGGTCTTTATCCCAGCCAGCAGCTTACTAGTTAGGGTTCAGAGTCCTGGATCCTAGCCGACACTACGTGACCCTGGGAACACCTCTCTGGACCATGGGACCCCCACTGTGGTATGGGGTCCTGCCATTCCGCTGTCCCACAGTCCCGCATACCTTGCCAAGCTGCAGGAGCTCCCAGTGGTGGTTGACAAAGGCCAGGATCTCCTCGAAGTCAAAATACTTCTTCTTGCTCTGCACTCCGAGGTTGTAGAGGGCCAGGTGAACCACATCCACCCTGAGCAAGGGGGCAAGGATGCGGGGCCAGGGTGAGGCAGCAGCCAGGGCCGGAGCCTCCTGGGTCAGGGCTGAAGGGCAGGGGCAAGGCTGGGACCTGGTGGTTGGAACTGGAACTGCTCCTGGAGGGGCGGGGGGAGGAGAGGAGCTGGGAGAGGGCAGGGGGTGCCTGGGCCCAGCCCCGTGCTCTCACCATCGCAGGGGGAGCCTCTCAATGTACTCTGGGCCCTGGTTACACACGGAGCAGAAGAACAGGTAGAACCTGTGGGTGGGTGGAAAGGGGACCTGTGGTGGGAGGGACTCTGACGCCCCACCCTAATCCAGCCCCCTCACTCCCTCACCTCCCACCTGCCTTCCTCATTCCTAAGGCTCCTGGCTTGGGGGCGGTGGTGAGGACAGGGCAGGAAAGAGACCAGGAAATGCTCCCCTGCTCCTTCTAACCCTACCTCAGCCCCTGTCCCCAGTGTCATTGCCCTGGAGCATGGCTGCGTTCAGAGAGTTGAGCTAGGCTGGGCTGCAGGGGTCACACTCTTCCCCTCTAACGCACACATGCACGCAATCACCAAGGCACACACAAGCCTCCTGTTAGCTTAGCCTCGTTGGTTAGAAACTGGATCAAGTCATCCATTCACCCAGTGATTTCTATAGCAACCCTGAGCAGGGGTGGGGCAGGGCCTGTGTCACTCCCCCTTCCTTAGACTCTTAAAAAGACTAGGGCTTAGGGAAGGTGGGGCTTTGTCTAAGACACCCCACAAGTCACTGGCAACTGGGGATGCGTTCCAGAATGCTCCTCTATGGGAAGACCTCCCCCAGAGAACCCCACTCACTCTAGCGTGGCAGCGACTGAAGGAGTTGTTACTACTGTCCCCTGTCCCCTGTCCCCCCACCTCACACCCAAGGCTGAGCCAGACCCGATTAGCACCTACCGGTCTCCAAACATCATGGGCTCATTGAGGCACTGGGTGCAGGCCTCGTGGAACCACTGCCTGCACCGGTAACACTGCAGCATCCGCAGGTACCACCTGGAGACAAAGAGGAGCCAGGGTCACCAGGGCCCTCACTCCCAGCCAGACAGGAGCCTCAGCAACCTTTCCCAACGCAAACTCGCCCTCCGCTGCGGCAGGGGGAGAGAGCCCAGTTATCGGGCACTTAGGCTGAGCCAGGGGACGTCCTGGAAGCAGGGCACGTGAAACCTCATTTGATCTCAGGATGGGACACTATCCCCATTTTACAGGTGAATCAGAGATTAAATGGCTTGCTCAGGGTCACTCAGAAAGCAAGTGGCGGATGGTGATTCAAATCCTGGTCTCCCTGACTTCAAAGCACTCTTCCGCCACACTACGCTGGAGTTCCCATCTCTGGATTGCACCCCACACGCTTCTTCCCAAATACCACCGACAGGGGAGAGTTTGCCCAGGAGACTTCATGGAAGCCTAACGGCTCCTGTAACCAACAGGGCAGCACTACGTCTGGTTTCTCTCGCCTGGTACTGTAGCTGCCCTCTCATGGCCAGCCAACAACTACTGAACGAACATAAGTTAAGAGCAAAATGGTATTTCCTCAACAACAGCCAATGCTTGTCAGGTGTGGTCCATGGACCACTGGCATCAGAATTGCCCGGGGTCTAGGTTAAACTGCAGATCGCTCAGCCCACTCCAGACCCGCTCAGTCTTTGGGGAAGGCCCAGGGAAATGCATTTTAAACAATCACCCTGGGTAACGCTGCTCAGTCAGCACTGAAAACCACTGCCTTAATGCTGTAAAGGTCTCTATGAGAAAGGCATTTCTCCACAGCCTCCAGACCCCTACTTCTCAACAGAGCCTGGGGCTAAGATAAGGACTTTAAGGTGTCCTAGAGGCTGACTTTCTTGAGGGCAGAGATCTCTTCTGCCTGGTGGTCTGGAGCAGTCGCCATGGCTACATGGAGGCCGGGCCCTCAAGGAAGAATCGGGCAAAGACCCTTGTCCCATAGCCAGGGCGAGGATCCCCTCCACAGTATCCTCAACATAGGATCCCCCATCCCCTCCTTGCCCACCCCCAAGGACAAAGATCTTAGTATCTCACCAGCAGCCTGTTTCCTTGGCTCTGGCAATGGAAAGGTTTAACTTCTGTACATCCCCAGTAACAGCTCACATGTAAGTGCCTAACAAGTGCCAGGTCCTGTGAGAGCCTTTAGGGGAACCACCTGACTCAGGTGCTGCTCGCAGCCACCGTATAACGGGAAACTATTATGAGAACTGAGGCTCAGGGACTGCACAGCGATCACGGGGGTTTGGACACTGGTATCCAGGCTCTTAATCATTGTGTAATACCTCCTTCTTTTCCACGGTGCCCCAGGAAACCACCTTCACCCACTCTCGCTCATCCCTACCGTTCCCAGGAGGCCCCGGCCCCCGGAGCCAGGCCCCGCCCCGCCCGGAGGCCCCGCCCCATCCCTCCCCGCCCCGGCGGCCTTACTCTCCCGGCCCGCCGCAGTAGCAGTAGCACTGCTGCTGGTTGGTGCGGTGGGGCGAGTCCCACTCGAGTTCCTCGGGCTGGTAGGACAGCACCATCTTCACCGCCTGCAGCGTCCTGGCGATGGCGCCCTTCTTCACCGCTCCGCCTTTCTGCGGGAGATGAGGGGTCCCGGTTGGGCCAGAAGGGAAATGCCCACTAGGGGGACCCGCAGATATTCCAATAAAGTCAGACTCAAGGAGCTTTTCTCAACAATCCCAAATCCATCCTCTCCCTTTCCCAGAAGGATCTCCATTAACAGTAATAACCACAACAAATGTAATAACTAATGAGTGTGGGCACATCCATGGTTTTTTCTTTCAATAGTAAGACTCCACTTATTGGGGGGCCTCCTAGTCCTGATACTGATCCCGTATCCCTTTTACAGTTCAGGGAACTGAAGCTCCGGAAAGCTAAGGAAGCTGGCCAAGGACAAACGGCTGGTAAGTGACAGAGGCGCTGTCTGCCTCCAAAGCCTTGGCTCTGTGACCTGGAGTCAGGCCTGAGCCCAGAGAGTGGCTGGGCTTGGCGACTGGAGAGGGGAGAGGCAGGGGCTGGAGGACTGGGGGCTCACCCGCACAGCCAGTGCGAAGATGCAGCGTCGGCAGAACCAAGGTGTGAGCAGAGTCCGGTCGGCACTGCCTGCTATGGGGATGTGGCACTGCTGGTGGTAACCTAGGCGGAGGAGGGGTGGTGGGTGCCCGCAAGGAAGCCATGGCCCAAGGCCAGTCGGCCCAAAGGCGGCAGGGCTGGGAAGGGCTGCAGCAGGTCCTAGGAGCTGTGCGCCTGCCAGCTGCCAGGGGACTGGCTGGCCTTGCTCTCGCCAAAGCAAGCCAAGTCGGTGTCCAAGCAGGCGACTGAGAGACAGCCTGGGCCCCCGAGGGGGAGGGCACCAAGGTCTGACTTCAGCCTCTGGGCCCCATCTCTCCCACTTATCCTCTCCATCCAGGGAGGCTCCAAATTACATAACCGGTCTCACTTTCCAGAAGCCCCAGCTGGCCCCAAGAGTCCCCTTCTCGGGCCCTCACTCGCAGAGACTGGCCCCTGTCACTGCAGAGCTCCAAGAGAAACAGGAAGCCAGCCGAGGCCCCAACAGCGTGAGGCACTGCCTGTCAGCGTCCAGCGTGCGTGGAAGGGGCAGGGAGGGGAAGCACAGGTCGGGGCCTCCTCAGTGCCCGGCCAGGTCTCACTCACCCAGGCCGCACTTGCCACAGATGAGGATCTCATTCAATGGCCCTGATGTCTTCCCCAGGCAGATGTTACACTTGGGCTCCTCCCCTGGAACTCCAGCTGAAAGAAAGAGAGAGGCCCTCTGAGGTCTAGTTGGCTGGAACTAGGAGTTTTAAAATCACATTCCAGGTGCCAAGCTGCTGCATACTGAGCCCAGCCCTGGGCCCCACAGGCCAACTCACTGAATCTCCCCAACCCCTCTGAGGTGCCTACTGCCATTACCCCATTCTAAAGATGGGGAAAGTGAGGCTCCGAGAAGTTAAGCCCCTTCCTCAGTTAGCAAGCAGGAGAAGCGGGATTCAAACCCACGGCTGTTTGACATGGAAGCCTTTGTTCTTTTGATCATGCTCCCTCTCCTGCCTGATGTAACTTGATTTATTATGTAGTTTTTTTTTATGTTAAATAATGTTTTAAAATTTTATTATGGGAGAGCAATAGACAGAATGGTATAATCTAACTCGGTTCTCATTAACAATTATGAACTCATGGCCAATCCTGTTTTGACAATATTCCCTCCTACTTCCTGCCATTATTTTGCATCAAGTCCCAGATACCCAGTCATTTCCAGTCAAATTTCAGGATTTATCCCTGAAAGATTAGAACGGTCTTTATAAAAAATCTGTAACTACAGCATCTTTACTGCACCTAAAGATTAAAGATGATTTCTTTATATCAAAACTTTTCACATATCCAATTGTCTCAAGTATCATAACAATTTTAAGTTTGTTCAGTTGCTTTTAAACTCTAAGTTCCCTCTCCATCTCTTTTTCTTTGCATTTCCTTTTTGTCTTTGTTGAAGAAGATATGTGTTTATGTGTGAAAGGTTTGAGTCAATACATTAAATACATGTTGACATGCGTTTCTGTCTTGGCACTGCCCCCCGCTGTGGTCCCTGGCGCACAGGGGGCCTTCCTCCTCAAGGTCTGCTAAAGGCCTTTCCTCCCCAGGTGGCTCCCTGTGCTTCTCCTGAGAGGGTAACCCAGGAGAGCAGGCCCTTATTGCTCTGGATCTTTATATAAGAGGTCGAGGTGAGAGGGCAAAGCAGCCGTCTGCGTTAGCCACAACACCCTGGAGAAGAAGGCAGCTTAGAGGCTCTGCTAACTGCCTGGGTTCTGTGGCCCCTACTTGGTAGGCTCCTGAAATCATCTCTTATGGTAACAAATTCTTTAGAAACAGCCCCCCTATAACCCTGGGCTAAGCATTTTACGTGGATTACCTCGTTTAACCACTCTGTGAGGCCAGTACTTCCATCATGTCTTTGTTTCAGATGACGAGACTGAAGGTCAGAGAGGTTATGTCCCTTGCTCAAGGATATGCAACTAGTAAACGGCAGAACTAGACCTCTGTCCAAGGAATATCTGACCCTAAAACCTGACCCCCCCATACCACCACATTTATTCTTTGGATGGAGCATAAATGGCAAATAGTCTGCTAAGAGATCCATGCTGAAAATAGAGGAGTGTTGTGACTGATTATGTGACGTCTGTCATGTGTCTGGGAAGGGAGAATGGTAGCAAGAATGCCACCGATTTGCCATCTCTGTAAGACAGTGTCAGCTCTCTGAGGGTAGGGATGGTACCCAACCCAGCTCCCTTTCAACCCTGAAAGCTGGTCCGCCTCCACTGGGCACCTTGTCCATCTTCGCTCTGCCTGGTCCAGCTCTGCTTTCTTGGTCTTTCTCCCACGGACAGAGCTGCCTCCACTAGTTTTCCTCACAAGTTGATAGGGGACACTATGCTCACCTAGAGTGACAGTTGGGATTGCCTGGGCCCCTCCCTGTTCCTAGCCCAGAGTGGCTCCGAGCTGTGTGCAGCAGGCGAAGTGCAGCCAGGAGGGAGACACAGGCCTGGGACCCACCCGGCTCCCGCTATCTCCTAAGTCGCCTTCGCCACCTGCCGGCCTCCCTCATGAGGCGTGGGTACTCCAGGGGAAGACGAAGGTCCTAAGGGCCTTTCCATGCAAATGCACAACTGGCGTTCTGATCAGCCTCACAGGTGGGCTTGGGGTTTCATGGATAAGGTCGGATGGCAGGAATAAGAGACAGAAGGAGACGAGGGGGAAAATGGCGGTAGAAAAAGAGAGAAGACAGGAGGTGGGGTGCGGGGAGGGGGTCCTGAAATCTGAGGAAACACTCACCATGCTGTATGTCCTTCCACAGGACCCAGTACTTGGAATTATCTTCAAAAGTCACAAGGCAGCTCTGCTTTGAACTGCTGACCTGGGGCACAGAGAGGGAAAAACAATGGGAGAAAGTGGCTGGGGAGAAGCCATGCAGCGGTCTTCCTCTCCCATTTTCGTCCCCACAGGGCGCAGGGATTGATGTGACCCCCTCCTTGTGCTCCGGAGAGTAGAGGTGTCCCAGAGGGCAAGGTCGATGGTGGCTCCTGGAGGTAGTGTGTGCCCAGCCCTTGGAGTTGTACAGTCAGGGCCCAAGGGACAACGTGGTGGGAATGCTGAGGACAGAACAAGCCAGATGTCTGTCTGTGATCATCTCGAACCTTATTCCATTTTGTTTCATAGGCTCGCAGAGCACTTTTCTAAAGAGCTGGTTGGGTGATGTTAGCTCTAAGGATGGTACCTGCAAAAACTCCTTCCATGTTCTGCCTTTGAGTGTCAGGGACAAGAAGGGAATTTCCCCTCAATCCCCCATCCTCCGTCACCAGGCTGAGGTCTAGGCCACAGGCTGAGCAGAGAGATGCTGAACCTGGGAACAGGGGCCAGGGAGAAAAGGTTTACCCTCTTGATCTTCCCGAGGTAATACAGTCCATCTGTCCACCGGCACAGCACATACTGGCCCTCTGTCAGCTTGGACATCAGGTCTTTGAAGTTATTCTTGGCTTTTGCCAGGGCCCCCTTGTTGGGGACGTGGCTGGTGGCACCATAGGAGTCCCGAGTCCCTGGGTCCAGAGCTCGATTATCCATCGGTTTCCACTCTTACTGGAAGAGAAAGAGAACAGGCTTTTTCTTCCGTGCTTTGGGGATAGGGGAAGGGAGGGAACAACAATTTTATGTGCTCGGTGGTACATCCCAGACACTTTTATCATCTCACGAGATCTTCTTGACAGCCCTGCGAGGGGGACATTATTATTCCTATTTTACAGGTAGGGAAATTGAGGTTTGGCAAGGGGAAGTGGCTAAGGGGTTCAAGGCAGAATCATGGCTCATAGTCAGGTGAGCCGAACCTCAGTTCTGCTCCCTTTCCCACCCATACCACACTGCCTTCTGCTGAGAAGCATCTCTCAGCCAAACACAGAGCAAAGTCTTCCAGGTCAGGGACCTGAACCACACACACTCTCTGGCTTAGGAACCTGAGGCTTTATCCCCTAAATCCTTTCATCTCATTGCACGCACAAACTAATTACTAAAATTTGGCAACACACCAAAAATATATATTTTTTGCTGATCTGACCCCCCAAATAAGTATAATTTTGATTGATTTACAAACAAATAAAAATAGCAATTACCTACCCTTTTTGCTCCGAAGTGAGTTTTTAAAATATCCGGTGTCTATATTTGTATATAAGAATTTCTCGTACCAAAAGTTAACCAATCTGATGCAACCTTATTATGCATGTGACCAATAAGAGGCAACTCTATTATATGACCTATATATTTATGGTTCAAGACAGGGCATTCACACCTGACAGCTGTTGTTGTGTTTGCTGTTGTCATTTTTTATTTGACAATTGAAGGGAAAAGAGGTCAGTGCCCCTGACTAAATAGTCAGGTATTGCATGTTCTAAAAATTCTTGCGGCACACGAGTTGAAAATTGCCGCCTTAAGCAAACATACTGCATGCTTTCGTTCTCGAGACGAGCAGCAGGAAGCCTTATACTCTGAATCCTACCCTGAGAGCTGGCAGAGAAAACTCACCCAGAAAGGAAAAGGCCTGGGTGGCTTGTGAACTGGTATAGACTTGGCCATCTGTGTGTGTCTTCTGTAATCTCCCTTTCTGTTCTCAATTATGGGATGATTTAATGGAAACCAATGCTGGGACATTTAAACTCACTTGTGCTTTTTACTCAGCTGCAAATTTGCCCTGAGCAGTTGTCACCCCCATACCTGTCTCTCACCAGACTATAAAGTGCTTTCGCTCTTCCTGTTAATGGTACTACTGGGGTCCCTAGGACCCCCAAGCCTCTTAGATCTCTCTGACCAATGAGTTGCCACGTCCACCAACTTTAGGCGCAGTGACTTCTGGTGTCCTGTTGTCTTTTCCATCCCTCTGTCTTGGTCTGCGTTAGGGCCTCACCTTGCCTGGGCCACTGAGTCATTCATTAACTATTTCCTGCGCCTGTGCTCACCTTGTGCTCACCTATGCTGGTCAGCTGCATAGGATGGGGGATGATACCACCAGCGCCCAGGCCGCCTCCCCACCAGACTCCTCCACAGGGCCACCAATTCCCATCTTACTCTCTGCTGGAAACCTCTGCAATGCCTTCCTAAGGCCTCCTCCGCCCCTCTCTGGGCTCCCCTGGCTCCATGCCCCTCCATACACTCTCCACTAAGTCAAACACTGCCTCCTTCTGTTCCCTGCACCGGCTCCTCTGTCTGGTCTCCTCCCTCTCTGCCATGGCGCTGGGCACCTGGTGCTATGGTTATCTGTAGACAGGGACGTTCGAGTATATACTCCTGTGAGGCTGTTGGATGTCTACGCAGTATGCCGGTGAGCATAGTGAGCATATGAAGCTAAAGACATGTGTGTGCATGTCGAGGGTGCCCGGGCAGGCAGGGCACTGCTGGGGTCTTGGCTCCCCAGATGGCGGCGTGCCCACCCCGCGTCCCCATTCCTCTCTTTTCTTCAGGGCAGAGTGCACAGGCACTGAACAGGGTATGGGGACCTTCACCGCCACCTGACGCCCCGGTTCGGCGAGGTCCCCGCCCGCCGGCCTGGGGCCCGGGGCCGCGGCAGGTTCATAAACTGACACTTCCTCTCTAGCCCTGCCGCTGGGAGCTGGCCGGATCGCCGCGCCCCCCCCCGACCCCCCCGCCCGGTCCTGGCTGGGCGCGGGGTGGGGGGGGGTCACGGGTGGCGGCCCCCCACCCACATCTCCATCCCCCTGGAGCGGGCCCCCGTGGGCTGTGATTGGCTGATTCAAACCCATCTGCAAAGAAATGCCTCTTTGCGGGTTCTCGTCGGCGTCCAGTTCAAATCCGCGGCACAGCGCGGGGCCAGGCGGGGGCAGGAAGCGAGGATGATTCATGCGCCGGGGCCTCTCCCAGGGCGGCCGTTGGCTTTTTAAAAAGGGTGTTAAGGAGGGGGGGGAAAGCTTGCAGAAGAACCCCCTTCGGGTCAGTGGTCCTCTCTCTCCTCAGTCACTCCGACGCCGAGCCTCCTCCTTCCCCATTCGGCCGCAGCCTGACTTCGGACGTGAGCAAAATCCCAAACGCCCCTGTAGGTCTCCCCCACACACTACTCCTCCCCCCGAGAAGAAAAAGTAAAGATTTGGGACAAGGGAATAGCGACCTGTCACCCACGCCCCCCAAAGTTTCGGGGACCCGGGCGGGGTTCCCGCCGCAGACACCGGCCAGCACCGTTCGGCCCCCAGGCGCGCGGCTCCCCAGGACTCCAACCCCCCCGCCCGAGGCGTTCAACGCCCAGCCAAAGTTCTGGGAGATTGCAAAAGAGAAGAGTGTGGCGGAGAGTGCCCGGGCCCCACCGACTGCCTGCAGCGCTCAACTTACCGCGAGCCTGCGTGTCCGCCGGTCCCACTTGGAGTCTGGCCACCAGGCGCATCGGCGGCAGAGACCGATGCGCTCGGCCCGCGGCTGCCCGGCCGAGTGTCCGCTCGTGGGGCCGGGGTCGGGGTCTCGGCGGGGGCGGGGCGGGGCGGGGGCGCCGCGGGGAGGAGGGGGGAGGAGGAGGAGGGAGGGGCCGGGGCACTCAGGAAGGGGCCCCCCGGGCGCGGGGCGCCATCTTTTTCGCGTTTTCCCGCGAATTATTGACGTCCCGCTTATGTAATTAACGGGGGCCGTGCCGGCCTTGCCATTGGAGCCCGCGGCCGCGGGGCCCCGCAGCGACCCGCCCGCCCGCGCGCCCGCCCCCGGGCCGCCCCCGCCGCCACCGCGCGCCGGGCGCAGACACGCGGCGCGAGTGCACGGACGCAGAGGCAGTGGCGCGACACGGCCGCAGCACTGGGGTGCAGGCGCAACGCCGGCACACACAGAAGCAGCACTCGACACGCGCAGCGCTCAGAGCAGGCACACACTTGTCCAGGAAACAGCTTTGCGCACAGGACACAGACCTACAGCTGGCACAGACACAGCAGGGAGGTGCAGACTCACAGCGAAGACACGATCCAGCGCAACCCAAACGGGATTCACACAACAGAAACGCACAACACCCTGCGCTGGCAGTGCGGGCAGCACAGAGACACAGCACAGATACAAGTCCACATCACACCATATTGATGGCACGTCATACAATAAAGAGACAATTACAGAGTGTAGACACAGGTACAAAACACAGACAGACACACAGTGTACACAGCATAGACACACAACAGAACTTACGTATAAGATAGACCAGCAAGCACGGTAACAAAGTACACCAACAAATTGCACTCAGTGCAGGGAAACAACACAAAGATAACAGTTGGCAAAAACCTACCACATACACAAACAACGTATTAAACAAGTGGCACACAATGAAAGACAACATCCACGGTCCTAGGAATAGCAGATGGATGTTGAGGAGTAGCAGATAATAGCAATGAGCATGACTCCCGTCCTATCGGGCCCTTGCCCTGGGGAAAAAGGGCCAGTTTGACCCCCTCCTGACTCACTCTTGGGGGGTGGGGGGAGAACACTTGTCAACAACATCCCGCTCTTTACCTCCTTCCTTATCACCCAGCCCTCCTCTCACCTGCTACTGTCACCCTCTGCAAACACCCCTGTGAGGCTGGGGGTGTGTGTACATCATGGGAGTGGCCAGCGGACTTGACTTCCCCAGCCTACCCCAGCTTTTGCGGATCACCTCCAAGCTGCCCACCCTTGGCCTCCTGCTTCCAGCCCTCGGGCTATGATCTCTCTGGCTGGCTGGGTCTGCCTTTAGGATGTGCAAGGCAGAGATTACAGAAGGAAGCGCCTACCTCTTGTTCTTATAGGCCAGCTCTGCTGATCACTGGCTATGGAACCTGAGCATATCACTTTAGTCCTTCAGCCTCAGTTCGGGTGTCTAAGTAGAGTTGTTGGGAAGGTTAGAATTAATATATGCAAAACCCTGGGCACTCAGTGGGTATGCAGTGACTGTTGTACTTTGTCAAGAAGTTATATATTCATTGAGTGCCCCCCTGGATAGAACTAGAACAGGGAGCTGAGGGCCCACAGTCTCTTGCGGCTGTCAGGTGTTGGTAAAAGCAGGAGCAGCAACAACACATATATAAATATGGCAGGCGTGGTGCAGTGAGCTGGACGAGGAGGAAGGGTCTTGCCCTCAAGCCCAGCTCTGCCTTGGAGCCAGTGTACGATCTTGGGTGGTAAGCTAGCCTCCCTCTGGGCCACAGTTCCTCATCTGTTCAAAGGGGGTAATCATACTATTCCATCTCACAGGGCTGTTGCATAGATGAGGTTAATATCAGATTAAGGGTGAAAGTTAAAATAGCACGATGAAGGAGCAGGTACTTTTGTAATCAGAAAAAGAGATGTATAAAGAGGCATTGTTAAAACTGCCAAATGGGACAGAAATGCCACTGGAAAGGTATAGTGTCGCCAGTGATGTTCAGTGGCGGCTCTAACTTTGAATTGAGAAGATAAATATTATGAAAGAAGTGGCATTTGGGTAGAATGTGGAACTAGGGATGTGAGCCTTTCAGGTGAAGGCGATGGTACATGCAGGAGCCTGGGCTGGAGCGAGTTGTGTATGTTGGGCTGGAGTTCAGGTGCGTGGAGGGAAGCAGTGGAAGGTGAGGCTGGAAGAGAAGGTGGAGCTCAGTGTAATGGTCTGAACTTGATTTTCAGCTCATAGGCCATCCGAGGCCACTGAACTAGGTGACAAGTGGTGCGTGTTCTAGAAGACGCATCAGAAGTCAAGAGCAGAGAAATGCCATAATCTGAACTTGCTGTGAGATCTGCAGAAGTGGGTTCAAAGTGTGGACAAAGAAGAGAAAGACGGTCCAATGTTAAAAAAAAAAAATGGGTTAAGATATCAACAGGCAATTCACAAAAGAGGAAGCCTAAATGGCCAAAAATATGAAACAAGGTTCAACCTTGCTGGTCATGTGAGAGATGCAAATGAAAAGAGTCTGGACACACCATTTCACATCCCACAGACTGGCAGAGGAAAAAGTCTGTTAATCGGGAGAGGGGGTGGGGGTGGCAAGGATGTGGGACCTTTGGAACCCTTGTAAACAACACCGACAGAGACACAAATGGCTACCACTGCTGTGGAGCAGTCTTCGGCAACATCCAGTCACGTTCGAGATGCTGTTATTTACAGTTCACTGGGTTCACTCCACATATAATTGTGAAATTAGACAGTTATTAACTATTCATCAATAGCCATCTAGATAGAGACATTGTGATCTATTCATACAATGGAATAATATACTGAGATGAAAAAGAAACTAAGGCTGTAAGCTTCACCATAGATATTGTGTAGGAAAAGACAATATCAAGTTGTAGGGTAGGTACAGTGTGATACAAATAGTTGTTTTAAACACTCATATATATTTTTAGGGTTCCAGTCAGATAGGAAGAGTTTAAAAGATGCATGGAATATTAAAGACACCCCATTTAGCAGAGTGGTCATGTCTGGAAAAGGAGGAAGGGCAATGAGATCAGGAAGAGGTACACAGGGCTTTAATCCTATCTGTGATTTTTTTTTTATCCTCATGCAAGGACATCATTTCATTGCTTTTTAGAGAGAAGGAAAGGGAGAGAGAGAAACAGCCATTCGAGAGAGAAGCATTGTCTGCCTCCCATACGTGCCCAGACTGGGGATCATACGTGCCAGATTGGGCACTGAACCTACAACCCAGGCATGTGTCCTGTCCAGGAATCACACCTGCAACTTTCTGGCTACAGGACGATGCTCCAGCCAACCGAGTCACACCAGCCAGGGCTGTAATATTTTATTTTTTTAGGAAAAAATATCCGAAGCATATGTGACAAGGTGTCAAGATTTGACAACGCTGGGTCCATAGTTGTTCTTTCTGGTCCTTCTTCTCAAGTCTAAAACTGTTTCTCCATTTTCTGTGTGTTTGAGGTATTTGATAATATAAACATGGCAGGGGCAGGGAGATTCTGCCCAGGTGGCAGAAGAAGAAGTTTGTTCCCATATGCAGGGCCATTAGAGGTCAGTGTCCCAACATGACTGTTTTGTGATTTGCCACAGCTTGGTGAACCAGGCCCAGCAGGTGGCAGGTCCGTTTACAGGGGACAGAATGGAGGCTCGGAGAGGTGGAGTGATTCTCCCAAGGTCACTCACGCTGGGGGGTTTGGTCTCCTCCGCTTACCTTCGGCTGTGTCTTTGCGCCTGCCTATCATGGGGCACAATCAGAGGCCAAAGATCCTCAGAGAAGGTCTCCTGCTTTGCATCCTCCTCCTCAGTCCGCTACATTCATCTATTTTTTCTTTCATTTAAGGGCAACTTGGAAAATGTAGAAAAGCGCAAGGGAGAAAATGAAAGTCGCTTGTGACTTTTCACTGCCTTATTTTTATAGTCAACTTTTGAGGTGTGTAGATAATTCATACATAATAAATTTGCCTCTTTTAAATGCACAGCACTATCCTGAGAGAAAGATTTCATTTTGGAAATCTTTGTCAAGTGCTAGACGAGGTAGCCTATATGAAAGGGCTCTACAAAGAAGAAAAGGCTTCTCACAAATAGGAATACTTGTTACTGTGGTTCAGTTTTTGGAAACAACCATGATAAAGGTGCTATCGCCCTTGGATGCAGGTGAGCAGCCGGGCGGGCCTGTGTTTCGTTGCCTGAACTGGGGTGTCAGTTTATAATGTCCTCAGCATGGAGGTGCTGAGAGTTTTCAAATTATAGTAGAAAGCATATTACTGATCATAAATACTGATTGCTAGCAGTATTTAAAAATTTAAAAAGAACAAAAACCAAAAACAGAACAAGAAAAACGCAAAACAGATGACAGGGTCAGACTGTGACCTGCTGAAGGGCTTGTGGCCTTGGTTGGCTGCCAAGCCATAAACACTTCTACCTGCGGCTTTTGTGGGGAAACGAGAGAAGTCAAGCAGGAGGGTAGAAAAGTGCCTTCACCCAGGCCCGGGGGATCCTGTTGGAACTTCAGACTCACTGTGGAACCATACGTGTGTCTTACTTCTTCTCTAATATGTAGTCTCTCTGGCTGTTAAAAATAAAGTGGTGCCTTACCTGTATTTTCAATGGTCAGCAAATGTCTGGAAACAGGCTGAGGGCAGGCACTTTGCTAGGAACTGGGCAGGGAGGGGGAGGGGAACAGGGGCAGACGTGCAGTCAGGTTGGATGCGAGGCCCCTGGTGGGCAGGGGGCAGGACACACACATCGGGAGGTAAGTCAGCAGACGCCACGCTTTGCTCAGAGAGTTCCTTCCTATTGCGGCGGTGAGATCTCCAGCAGTCCTCTGGAATTGTTCTACTGCCAAAATTTCTTTAAAAGTCCCCTGGTTGAGTGAGTGTTCTGTGATATGTGACATTCTCACACATTGCAGAAGGAGTTTGTGCCTGGGTGGGGCAATGTCTGAGTGACCTTCGGGACCTCTTTCAGCCTGGAGAGGCTGTGAATCTGGCACCAGGATTCCAGGGCTA